TTGAATTATTTAATCTCGTACGAAAGTACGATTTATGCTTTGAGTAGTTCATCAACAGAGTTCAGTCTACCGAAAAAGTATTCAGTCCATAGCGATCGTTAGTACTCGCCGCGCGCCGTCCGTACGGACTGCATAGGCCAGGAGTGTTCAGCAGTCAAAGGGTTAATTGATTCAACGGAGAGGTGCGAATTTGTCATTAGTTTTTTCTTCGCACAACTCTTTTCCCCTTCTTTCTCCCTCTCTCTGCGTAAGGATGGGTCAGGCTTAATCCGTTTTTAGTGGCACTGTTATCCGTTAGCTTTATGTCGAGCATCGGTTTCTTTCTTCCAGTGCTTACGGCTTTCCTGAATTAAAATTGCCTTTAAAAATAAAAACAAATATTTCATGTATTTTTATTAACCAATTATTAACCCTTTGCACCCGATGCACCCTTTGCCTTTTTCATTTGCGCAACTCAGCAACAACTCGAAATAATTTCAGCCAAATTTGGGAAACATTTTACATGTACTTTAAAATCATTTATAAACAAATATAACAAAATTTGATAAATATTATACTCTGTAATTAGTTTTTGTATGATATTTAATAAAACAATACCCAAGAAATGCATTCTAGGTTTATCAGAACACGTATCACAATAATATGTTACTTCCAGCCTAACCTCCATGTATATTACGATCAGTGAAAACCTTACAATCCCTTTTCGGCCCTTGAAGTATTATGGGGTAGCTTAGAGTACTGTTATATTCACTGTAAAGACTGTTTCAAGCAAATGATATACTGAGATTAACTAAACTGAGCTACAACTTGGTTAAACGTATAAGCCTAACCTAATTAGGGAGAAATATCTTATCACAGATCGTAAATAAACAGATAGACTAACAAAAGACTCCAAATCTTCCGAGCAGCATCGTTTCGGTGCTGTTCGAGTGCAAAGGGTTAATTCAAAATGATCATCGTTCATTATGTTGTTTTATATTATCTTACCAGAATTAAATAAGTCTTTCCAGTTGAATATTTATTCATCCCCTACAAACACTCCTCTTGGCTTCTTCTGACGCACCTTGCTACCTTTCGTTTAAATTCTATATAACTTTCCCGCCATTCTTTCTGTATATGCATATTAATTGAACGATGTAAGATTACTAAGTAAAATCAAACATTGTCGAACATAAATTGGTTATTAAGAAACCTTTATTGTATCAAAATATCAATGAAAAAAAACTTACGGCAGCATCCACATTAGCAGGACTTTCGTCATTTGGATCTGCGAGCATACTAATAACGCTTATGAGAATTGTCTCAACTGTGTGAACTGGCAACCACCGTTCTGATGCTTTTTCATAGCCCCATTTATCATCTCCAGGCTCATGTAAAATCGATATACATACATCACCATTTTTCTCGACTGACGATAAGAAAAACAAAATACATTTACATATTTAATCTTTATGATATAATCAATTCTATGAATACCTTGCACTATGATTCAACACGTCCAGTTGCTAACACGTTGTTTATATTTGACTCGTAAGATTTTCTACGAGTTTCACAGTTCATTATAGTGCAAGGTCTTCAAAACAAATGTCTAATGCGTAATACTTACTGTTTGGATGCCAAATTTCAGTTATAAATTTCATTCTTGGCGGCCTAAGTGGATACTCTTTTGGAAATTGTAAATGTGCTTTAAAAAATCCGCCTTCACTGTTAAGATATCAAAATATGAAATTTAATAACGATTTCAAATTATTTAAATATTGTTAAAACGTTATTGTTATTTTTACTTACTACAATGTATCCGGAGGTCCAATAATAAGTACCTCCCATCTATAAATATCATTGTCGTCAATGAGGCCTGCCGAAAACCCTTCAACTGGGTTTTTATTTAACTCTGTAAAAATAATCCACCAATTTTATATTAACATTATAAAAAAAAAAAAAAAAAAAAAAAAAAAAAAMAATAAAAATAATATTTTCGATTGGATGACCGTTTAGGAACATGGAATACTTTTGAAGTCATCGCAGACAAAGAAAAGTAAAATATTTAAAAATATTACCAATACATATATATATATACAGGGGAGGGGGTAGGAAAAGGTTAGGAGAGATCACATTACACGTATATTAAAAATATATATAAATATATTTGTGTAGGTGAAAAGCGAAAGTATAGATGACCAAAAGCAGAACAAATTGAATAAAAAGGTAAGGAAATAAAAAATGCACGAATGGGTCCTGACAAAGACACCTGAGTTGACCTTCGTCTTATAGACGACAGATTTTTATACATATATATATATAGATATATCTTTCTCATTCTGTTATTCTCATATTGGTATTTCTTTTTCTAAAGTGTTACCAAGTGCAAAAACACAAGGTATTCTGTAGAATACATATATGTTTCAAGGAAAAAGCCCGAAACACGAAGAGCCACATACACATACACATACTCGTATACATACATACATACAGCCTACATAGATAGATAGAAAGAGAAAGAGAAAGAGAGGAGGTAGTTGGGCTATAAATAAAATCTTGCAGGGAAAGAGAGAGACTGATGATTATTTTTGAAATGTTTCTTTTTTCGGTTGGACAAACTGAAAGAGAAAGAGAAAGAGAAAAATAGAAATAGATAAAAATAGAGATGGAAGATAGTGGATGATAAATAGAAAGTAGGGATGGGTTAAGAAAAAATACTATTAGGTAGTAGTAGTAGTAGTAGTAAAAGAAAATTAAGGAGAAGGGGAAAAATATAAAAAGAGTCCCAAGAGACACTAGGGATCAACCGATGTCCCAGCATCGTGTTGTTGTCCTTGTGAGAATCATAAAAAGAAAATAAAAAAAAAAAACAAACAAACCAAAACCAGTGAACAAATGTATTAAAAAAAAAATAATAATAATAACCAAATACATCAAAATAAAATAATATTATTATTTACAAAAGTGAGATTAACATTAATTGAAATTATTAAACAACAAAAATTACAAACTGAAGGGTTGTTAAAGGGATTAGGACAAATAGAAAAAGAACAAAAGAAAAAAGAATAAAAAAATGTATAAGTCCCGGGGATGATTCGATTCGTGCGAGGTTAACGTTCCCCATTGGTCCGGTCGTCGTCGTCGTCGTCATCATTGTCGTCATCGTCGTAGTCGTCGTCGTCGTCGTCGTCGTCATCGTCGTCGTCAGGGTTGTTAAGAGTTCCATACCCGGAGATCTCTCCTTTTCGCGAGCACGTTATTGATTTTCACGCCCTGATCGCGAGCCGCAATAAAGGGCCGTGCCAAACCTTCGTAGGGCTGTCTCTGCAGCAAGAGTTCTTTTCTGTTTCTTTTTTTTTTTTATTCTTTTTTTTCTTTCTTTTCTTTTGTTTTTTTTTCTTTTTTTTTTTTTTATTCGAAGAGTTCGCACACGCGTCCTCTTCCTCCTCGTTGACGTCGCCGTCATCGTTGTGTCGTAAAGAAAGAGAAAGAAACAAAAGTGACGGCAAATATTCATCCCCCAATACTTTCATTAATATTTTAACAATAAACAAATATTTAAATATTATTATTGTTTTATTATAAATATATATATATATATTTTTTTTCTATAGTTTTGTTTTAAATATACAACATAAAAAGAGAGAGATATATATAAATATTATTGATAAAATATTTGAAAAATATTTTTAAATTATTTTGTAAATAAAAAAAAAAGGAAAAAAAAGGGTTAACCTCATCTTCATCTTCTTTATCTTTATACTCTCTCTCTCTCTCTTTCTCTTTCTCTCTTTCTAAATTTGTATCTCTTTTTATCCCTGATCACTCTCTCTCTCTCTCTCTCTCTCTCTTTTTCCTTTTTTCTCTGTCTTTTAATATATCTGTCCGTCTCTGTCTAACTTTCATAATGGTCTCGCTCCCTCTTAGATGGGTTTTAGTTGCGCACCGATATACACGGCACCATTTAACACTCAAACACATATATATATTGATACCTGCTAATTGTTTTCGTAGTAGAAGCGCGGACTGTGGCTCTGACATTAATAAAAGTTCCGTTAAATAAGACTAAAGCTGAAAACAATTCACTTTTGCTTGACTGGAAAGATGGCTAGGTACGTCGCGGAAGCGATGACTGCGCCTGCGCCACAGTGTTTAAACATATGTTCTTCCGTCGTCCTAACATCGTGCGCCGGTAGTTCAACTATTCGCCGGCTATCGCAGCGACACTAGGCGGATCCTTTGATCTATTAAATTAATCCCTAGAAGTTACTATGAATGGAGACTAAATTGAAACGTTCTTATCGATTGTCATTTTTCTCATCGCTTAACCGTTTTTTTCAAACGAGGGCGCTACTTTCTTTCATAACCTATACAACTTCATTGATGAATCAGTGGTAATCTTTTGTTTTTACTATTAATCGATTAATTTCTATTTTAGTTATTAAATTTTTCTTAATTAAGGTTAGATTTGTCGTTTCTTTCTTTATAATGCTTTTAAGATTTTATTATATAAAATGAATGGGGTTATGTTTGTAGATTTATATGTTTGATTTTTGTCAATTTTGATTATTTTATTATTTAGTATTTTTTCTTTAGTTAATTTTAGTATTGAACTGTGATTTTTTTCAGTAAGTAACATTTAAATATTTATAATAATTTTGAAATTTAGTTATATTGATTTAATACTATGCTTTTCTGTTGCAGTTACTCGTTCACCGTTGGACTTTATACAAGGTGTTCTCATTGTTTAATGCAAATACTTGTATTCAGTGTATCATTGACATACATAGTAAGAAATTATTTATTATAATAAATATAATTCAAATGTTTATTACAATTTTAGGTACCGTCTACTTGATACTGTGTCATACGTTTATTAAAGAATATGTGATTCCTTCATCATTACATATTTCAGATTATCAAAATGTTTCTTTTGAAATAAATTGAAAACATCAATGTAATTAATTTATTCTTATAGGTTATAATATTTAAAACGATGTATATTACATGAATTTATAATTGTCATCGATGTAAGTATAGTAATAACGATTTCAGAGAAACGTAAATGCAAATGGCGTTTAGTATATCATTTAGTACATCATTCCATTTTTATGCAATCGTTAAACATAAATGTTACTATTTATAAAATAAAAATATTTTATAGACCCTTTAAATTGATACGGTGTTGAAAAAGTTCCCTTTAAATATATTTATAATAATTTTTTAATTTAATTCACCAATAAATAGATTTGTATTTACTATCTACTGTTAATAGTTGAATACTAACTTATTCACTATCACTAAACCAAATTCTATCTTTGCTGTAAACCAGTAAGGTAACCATAATAGTAGATTCCTATATTTTAGGTACAGTAAGTTACCCATAATAGTAGATTCCTATATTGTAGGAACATTACCGTACCCATAAAAGTAGATTTCTATATATTTATCTATTTTTTAATAATAATAATTTGTTTTTCGTTATTTATAATTTCTAACCTCTTTCAGTAGCAAAAAATTGGCGGTTACGCGTGAAAAACAATCGCAGCGCCGTTTGGCAGTGTTCGAGGAATTTCAGAAGAGAATTTAAAAATGAAATTACACTGATGATAATATTACATATTTATGAATAATTAATTTATTTATTAATAATTTTGAAGAGTGTGATATTTTTTTAAATTATCAATGTGTCTTTCTTTCTACAATATTTTCGAAAACAGAACCATTTTGACGTACGTAGCGCGTCATTTCACCTTAAGAGGTTAATAAGAATACATTTTCAAATTTATATTCTTTTATTAGAAATTTTAAATTCCGAATAAGTTTGATAAAAGCTTTAAAAAAAAAGGTTAATGGGAATTTCAAATTTAGATTTTAATGATTTCTTTTTTTTTTATTATCCAGTATAATAAGATACATTGCTTTGACAAACGATTATACAGACGTACAATATTCACCGATTTTCGTTTATCTCCATGTATTACTTTATTTTATTTTATTTATTTTTTTTTTTTTTTTTACACAGACGTTGCAATTCCATTTGAATTTTATGACGCCTTGAGACATTTTTTTCTAATCTCCTTTTTTTTTTTTATTTCTCCTTCTCATTTTTGTTTTTTGGTTTTTCACTATTTACAGAAAGTATCATTTAATTAGGATGTTATTATTATTATTTTTTTTTTTTTTAATTTATATTATACACGACATCAAATTGTTGAGTGGTTTCTCAAAATTTAAGTTCATTCATTTTTTGTTTAATAATTATATTATCAATTATTTCTTTCACGCATACATTCGTAAGTAAACACACACCACAAACATACGAAACAAGATCTTTCTTTCTTTCTTTCTTTCTTTTCGTTTAATTCTAATTCTTTTTTTGTTTACTTTTTTTTTTTTTTATCACACCTACATTCACATTACTAATTGTAAGTTTATTTATTTTTTTTCTTTATTTATTTAAAGATGCACTGTACAATAGATACGTAGCATTGTTTCGAGAAATATTTGATTTGTATTTAAATGTGAGGCGAAAAAACTTTCGATATAAAATCTCGTCATTGTAAATAGGTGGTAATGAATATCATTAGAAAAGGTTTATTATGCGAAATACAACGAAGTGTGTTGTGTGTGAGAACATTTTCATTTATAAATACGTTCCTCAATTATTAATACTTTTTCAATTCCAATGTTCTAATAGGATATCGTGATATGATAACAACAAATGGAAAAAAAAAATAACAAATTAATAAATTAATAATTATTAAAATTATAATATTAAAAAATTAATATTAAATAATATTATATTTTATTATTTATTAATTTTTTTTTTAAATTTAAAAAAAAGAACAAAAAATTATAATTATATTTAATATTAATATGAATTAATATTATAATAATATTAATTATTTTTATTATATGATATTCATAAATATTTCTATTATACAATATAAATTAATATAAATATATATTTAAATTATATACGATCAATTTTAAATTCATAATACAAAATTTCATTTAACACAACATTAATAGATAATAATTAATAATATAATAAACACATTTTTTTTTTTTTATAGAAAAAAGATTTTAATTTCTTCAATAAATTTCTATTAATTTTCAACTACACTTTATTGAAATAATTTTGTTTGAATTTGATTAACACACACAAAAAAAAAAAAAAANTAAAAAAAAAAAAAAAAGAAGATAATATAAAGAAATATTGAAAACCAATGATTCGAATAATTGAATCGTCATGGTAGTTCGCTTCGCGAAAGATTATTATTGTGGTTTTCAAACACTGTAATACGCAGGTTAGCCAGATTCTTCTTCATAAGATAAAATACAGCATCTCCCTGTCGATTGAATAATACGTTTAAAGTTAAACATTGATTCGTTTCTGATAATCAAATGGGATTATTCTATTTGGCGATGCAGAAAATTGCATTCCCATCCATTTCCGGAAAAATTTATCGAATCGTGAAATATTTCTCTTATATTTACAATCTGTAATCTCATTTATAGACCACTCATTTTTTTTATCCTTCTCCTCCTCAACCCCTCATCCTCTCTTCTATCTCCTTCTTTCTCTCTTTTTATTTTCATTTTTTTTCTTTTTTTTTTTTTTAATATTAATATTCCTACTTTAAGTATAATTAATTTCAAATGTTAGAATGCAAATAATTATTTAATTATTAACGATGATCAAATAGAAAATTGATTGAAAGGTAAGTTAACTTAAATCATAAAATTTCGAGAAGGATAGAAAGAGAGAGAGAGAGAGAGAGAGAAAGAGAGAGAGAATGTGACAAAGCAATTCCATTAATTTTCATTTGAAAGCTAATCAATCGAAAGCTTCTTTTATTTTTTTGTACCTTTCTGAAAATAAAATCAAATGTGGTTCGCTTCTACTGTACAAACTAACGAGTAAAATGGTATATGTGTATATACACATAGAGAAAAAAAAATAATAAGAAGGATAGATAAGAAGAAGATGATGAGAAGGAGGAGGAGGAGAAGGATGAGAAAAAAAAACGAAGCGATGAAAAATCCTGTGACGTTTGGTTTTCATTGGATATTTCTACTGCAAAATCGTCCTACTAAAGTTTCCAGTTGCCACTCCATATACCAACTACCACCACCGAGCTGATTTTATGTGGGAAGTACTTTGAACTCAGTTATATTTCCCTAGAGATCGACAAGAGAAACCAGCAGAACGTAAGGGTGAAAAACGAGAAAGAGGGAAATTCGAAGAAAGATAGATATAGTAATAAGAGCTTCTTATTTAAAAAAAAAAAAAAAAAAAAAAAAAAAAAAAAAAANAAGAAAGAGAAAGAGAGAGAAAGAGAGAGAGAAAGAGAAATAGATATTCTTGCAATAGAACTTCGAATTGAACCAATGAGATCTGTCTTATATGTCATATAACATTCACCTAATTTAAATATATTTTTTCTAGTTTTTTTTTTTTTTTCAATTACTTATATCATAAATCATATTTCAAACTTCATCTCATTTTTATTTTTATATATTAATATTATAAAATAAGAGAGTATTAATTATTAAATTATAAATAATTATTTAATATGAATTTCTTTTTTATGAGCATGTAATTTAGTTTTAATATTAATTTTAATGTTTATAATAGGGAACTATTATATTATTTTTTTGTAATGTTATATTAAATAATATAATAATATATTAAATAAAATAATAAATACTATATAATATTAATTTAAATAAATATTAAAATAAATAATTCATTATATTAAATAATATAATAAATATTATAATATGATATTAAATATCAATTATTATTATTTTTTTTTTTATCAATTTATATAAATTGCAGAATATAAAATTAATTCAATATAAACAAAATTTCATTATAAAATAATTTTGATAACTTTTATAATTGTGCTATGATTAAAATCAATTAATTAATTAAATTTCATGTTTTCCAAATGCACATCTCTTTCTCTCTCCTTCTCTCTCTCTCTCTCTCTCTTTATATAAATTGAAGAATATATTAGAAATAACTAATCAACGTATACGAACTCTAAAATAAGTTTAGTCGGTCAGAAATAAATTTAGATCGATACAAATAGTTAACTCTACCTTTTCGAATAAGAAGAAAAAACCTTAAAAAAGGGACTTAAAGTTTGTTTTGGCTTCATTCCACGATATCCCTTTCCTCCGTTTCCTCATCTATTATTTTCCTTCCTTCATTTTCTCTTTTGACTTTCCAAACCAATCTCTGATCCACCTCCCATCCCTTTCTTTACTTCCACCACTCTTTTTCTTTCCATTCTCTTTTTTTTTCTTAAAGTTGGTAAGACGATAAACGATATTTTTAATTTAGCGACCACTATCGATTGTCATTAGTCGCTATATATACTTCTGTCCTTTTTTATTTAATTTAATTTAATTTAATTTAATTTAATTTAATTTATTTATTTGTTAATTAATTTTATTGTTAGTTTTTACGTATCTAAATTGGAAGGAGGATTTTTTTAGATGTACACACATACATACACACACATATATATATATATGTATATATTATTTATATATTCACACATACTTTTCTTTTTTTTTTTTATACATTCAATACATTCTTCTTCAACATTTCCGTCCTTTGATTAAATTTCAATCGATTATTCTTTCTTCGAACTATTTATTTTGTTTAATAATATTATTCCGATTGATTGTGGATTATATCTTACATCTTATGATATGTTACAAGAAACCAAACGAAAGGAACCCTTTTTTTTTTTTATTGTGTGTGTGTGTTTTTTTTTTATTTCTTTTTCATTTTTATTATACGTTTTTGAATCGGCAAAAAATCGCATGGACTATAAATTTTTTAAGACTTTTAATTTTTTTTTTATAAGAATTTTTTGCCCTTTTCGAGAATAAGGAATGATTTTTATTTTTTCTCTTCCTTTTTCTTGCTTTTTTTGTTCTCTTCATTCTTTTTTGTTTTTTTTTTTTTGTTTTTTCATCTTTCTTTCATCAAAATCAAATTTTGTTTTATTTTTAATTGAAGATCTCTAATTTTCGGATAATATTTTTTTTTTTTTTTTATTCTAAAGGACATCTTGTTTTATTATTTTTTATTTTTAATTTTAATTTAATTTTATTTTATTTTATATTCTTATTTTTTTTAAAGATGGATACCTCTGCCCACGATTTCACGATAGGATCGATGATAAATCTTAAATATTGTGAATGTTTTCTTTTAATGGGGATGAACATTAGGGAAGGAAAGGGCGTATTTTTTTTTTTTTACAACTAATTTACAGTAATTGCAATCATCGCGCTGTTTTGTGTTTTATTTTTTACCCTTTTTTACTCTTCGCGTAATATTTTTCTTTGTCTGTTTTATTCTTGTAGATAATCTATAGATAATATCGATATTTAAACAACGTAGATAATTTTTTTTTAATTTTTTATTTCTTCATCGTTTTTTTTCTTTTCATTTCTTATTCTAGGTTTTAACATGTCGCTTGTTTTTTTTTCTCTGTCTCCCTTTTTTTTTTTTTATTTCATCTTTACGAAGTTTAATTTTAACTTCATTTTTCTTTTTTGTTGTTTAATTAAATTACATATTCTTATCGTAATATTTATTAATTTGATTTTTATTTATTATTGACGATCTTTGCGTTCGCATTCTATATTATAATATTTATTATTATTATTATTATTATTATTAATTAGTATTAATATTATTATTATTAAAAAATGTTTAATATAAAAGTGTGAAAAAAGTTAATATTGTATGAGACAAAAATGAATGAACACATAAATTGGCAGATATATTGTTTTAAATAATTAATAATTGTTATTAATTTATTTATCATCATGATTATTTATTTTTTTTTTAATTTTTATCTTTAATTATGTTTCGTAGAATTGAACGCAAAAATCGATCGTTCGTTCGTTCGTTCGTTCGCAAACAAGAATTTATCTTATTCTTTCTCTTTTTATCTTTATCTTTATCTTTATCTTTCGCATTAAATATATCTAAGAAATATAAAAAATTCTTATCAATAATATCCCCTATCTAGATAGGCGTGTAGAAACCTTTTCTTTTTTATTTTATTTATTTTTTTTTTAATCAATGCTCGTGTTGCACGTATTCGCAAGAATGAATAAGAAGATTGAATAAACGTCAAATTCGTAATCCGTTTTATCTTCAATATATAAAACTGAATAAAAATATAGATACAAATACTACAAATTCGTATCATTCGATAAGAACCGTAAAATCGATCAATTCATGTCAACATTTTTTTTTTTTTTGAAGTATCGATTTGTTGACCCTCATACTGCATTGTAAAAATTTAAACGACGAACAATAATTCATTGGAAATTAATTGAACGGAGTTACAAGTTTGATATATTTTTTTTTTGTCAGTTTACGATAAAGAATGAAATGATTTTACAAAGTACAGATATAAATATTTGATTGGTTAATCGGTGATTGTTCAGTGGAAAAGAATCAAAGAAACTAAACTTTCATTTCAAGTGCATTCCCTTTCTTCTTACAAATGAAAACAAAATCACAAAGATACTTTACAAATTATTATTTGAAATATTGTTCAAACAATTTCTTATAGAAACATTTGTTTTTTTCTTTTTATTATTATTATTATTATTATTCAATGAATTTAATTATTTATATTTTATTTCGTGTAAGTAGATATTATTTGAATATTTTCAAGTGTAGTATTTTCATTTGAATATTTTTTTCCAAATAAAGATAATTATTATCTCTTTAATAATCTTATTTAATTATTTATTTAAATATAAATATTCATAAATATAAAATAAACGGATTACACAAATCTTACGTTTATTCGATCTTTAACATGTCTCACATTACTTCAAAAATCAATTATGGTTTCTTCATTCGAATTCATATTATAAACATAATTTCATTCGAACTTCGAACAGGTAGAATAATTAATTTTAATAATTAGTTCAATTTCGATAAGAATTTCGAAATTTAACGTGCATATTTTCATTCATCGTAACACACAAACTTATTTATAATTATATAATATAATTGTTAGTTTTGTTGTTGTTGTTGTTTATGTCTCACTTTTGACGTAAGTTCATATAGACATTTCTATTTTCACAATCAGAATAAAGAAAAATGTTGTCAACATCTACAAATCAACCCATTCTTAAACCATTCATTACCAACCATCACTACCACCATCACCACCATTATTCTTCTTAGCTTGAGAAAAAATCATGACACACGCATTTCTATTGAAACTAACGTAGTCAGCAGTTCAATACAATTCACTTTGATCGAAATTTAAAGAATCTCGAATTCTTCGTAATATTATTGGCTTACTTCAAAAATCTTTTATATATTTTTCTATCTTTCTATCTCACTCTCTCTCTCTTTCTCTCTCTCTCTTTTTCTCATACACGTATAAACAATTTTGTTATTTTGCAAAGAGAAGAAAGAAAGACAGACAGATAGACAGACACATATAGTAGTAACTATACCCAAAAGTTAGGAAATTCATGGAATTTCACTGAGTAGAGACAAATTTGGAACATGGTGACAGGTATAATACTGAAGTATATTTTTTTGCGTGTGTATGTGTTCACTTCTACATTTCAGTGTTTTCCTCAGTTTCCTCATCGACTTTTGGTAACATGTAAACCGGTGCGATCTGTGGCACGTGATCCTCCAACTTAAGGATCGGTTTGCAGTCTCTGGTAACGTCGACCTGATTAAAGGAATCCTTCAATATATTGATCTCGTTTTCATGAGCGAATATGTTGGTTGGTGGATCGTTAGCGCATACATTTGTCTCATCCGTGCCATTTCTATGACACAGATTACCGGACGGAAATTGTCACGAGGTTAATGCAAACGGATCGGTTGATAATTCGTCAACGCTAGGGCTTGACTTAACCGGTTCTTGTTTATCATTTTGATGACAGAATCGATGTACTATCTCGTCGTGTAGAATATTGAAACACATTGCCGTCAATGCCATACCGGACATTATGTAACAGGAGCAGAACCAAATCGTTGCATTTCGTGACGATGATAAGTTGTTGTTGTTGTTGTTGTTGTGAGGATAGGAACCTGGTACCATGTCACCAAATCCAATCGTGCTTAAGCTCATGAAGCAGAAGTAACTAGCATCTGAAATCAATTAGAATGTATTTTTGAAGTGAAAACTTCTTTAGAATAGGAGTGATCAGAAAAGTAAATAAACGCGGTCGGTCAGGAAACGGAGGATATAGGATTGAGCCAGCGAGAGAATGAGACGGAATATAGCTATACAGTTTATCCTATTCTCGGTCTCCTCCATATGTGTGTGTTTGTGTGCGACTGCATACTAAAAAGCGTGGACACGTATTCTTCCGATACTCGAGTCAAATTCTAGGGATTGTTTGTATTTGGGGATATTATTGTATTTTGTATTAACAAAAATATTATTAATTAAAATAATTAACTTTGTAATGAAATATATTGTACTTAGTTGGGTGTGTTAGGATATACTAAAATTATTTGAACTTAAAAATCTTACCAACGAAACTCCAACCATCCAATTTATGTAGAGTAAAAGCTCCAGCAACGATGTAACACAGCATAGCTCCTAAACAAATACTTATTGGTGCAAGTATGGTAACATTTGGTCTATCACCAGATCCAAGACTTGATACCTCATCCTTCGGACTAGTTTTGATTTCAACGGTACTCGTGAACGTCGATGAATTAGCACGAACGTAAAATGGTTCTTGCAATTGCAATTGTTGTTGTTGCTGTTGTTGGGCCAATTCTTCTTGTTGTCTCTTTCTTCGCATTCGTCTCTCTTTCTCCTAGGCGAATTGACGAAATATAAAACTAAAAGAATACTCGTAATAATTTGAATCAAATATCTTATTCTAAATAAATATATATTGATTTATTTTTCAAACGATCCGTCTTAGGGTGCTTAGTCAAGAAAAAAAAAACCAATTTTAACAAATCAAAGTATATAGTCGAAAGAAAATAATCTATACTCCTTTCGGAAAAGTTCTTACTCTGAGCCATTTCGAGTTATCCGCTCGATTACTTTGTCGATAAATTCAAACGGTTAAACCCACCCACCCCTATTTCAACAGATGCGAGAGGAGGGAGGGAATGAAATAAAATACAAATAGAGAAAACAGAAAAAAAAACAAAATCAAGTAAGAACATGGAAGAAAAATATTCCTAGGTAAGTCGAGTTATTTTCTTCTTCCATTTGATTCTTTCGAGTTTTCAGGAGCGTACTGGTGAAGTGGGGGTGTGGGTGGGTTGGGTTAAGAAACGGTTACCGAAACCAATTTATCGCGTACGTGGTTCGTTTTGAAGAATTTAACAAGCATGCACTATAAAAGAGAAAAAGAGAGGGTAATAGAGAAAGAAAGAAATAAAGTATGAAAGAAAAAGTGAAAAACAGAAAGAGAGAAAGAGAGAGAGAGAGAGAGAGAGAGAAAGTAGACGCATAGAGAGACATCCGCAAAGTACTCACCTGCATTCGTCTCTCGTCGTAGCAACAATAGCCGCAGTTCGAACAAAGGCAGCAACAAAGGGCCCTGGTAAAAACACCCCTGGCGCACCTGGACAACAGACCTCCGGCATTTGACAAGTAGACTATCGTCAAGGGTATACCTAGACTTGCGTAACCCATGGTCGCCAGTTTACCCCACGTTGACTTTGGTGCTATACTACCACAACCTAAAACATTACATTCTTTATTATTATCTTTCATATTTAAATTTATTTGAATTTTTATTTAATAAATTAATTTTTATTTCATCTGAGTTATGTGTATAGGTATTGCATTTGTTAATATACAAACTTTTTTATTACATATATATTATTGTATATAAAAAATTATTTATATTTTTATATTTTTATATAAATATATAAGAATAAATAATTTTTATTTTTGTTTTAAATGAATATATTCATTTGTGAATTATTGTAGCTTATTTGTTCATAGAAAAAAAGAAAATGTCACGTATTAGGTATTATCACTATTATTGATTATGAGATGATGATGATGATGATAATAATCAATTGATTATCTCGAATGAGAAACGATGCTTTTAGATAGATAAGTTAGTTAATTTATATTATCATCATGTGAGTTATGGTAGTTACTTGAAAGCTAACGCGCGATGCCGTTATGTTTATTCATGGTAATCAGGTCGTACGCGTAACGAGGAATTTAACCACATGTTACGTCATATATCCTACTACTTGTAAATTAGGTATACATACATACACACATACACTATCATAATTCCTAACGTCGATGTCCTTGAATTATTCCTGATCATTAAAATCATTATCGATTTAAATCTGATTATTCAATTATTTATATACGTTATAGATCATTATGACAAAAGCATCTCATTCCTAACTACCATCTTAAATTATTCTAAAAAACAAAACCTAACACCAAAGAGAATTAAATGATTCAATAAATAATTTTTCAAACATTTTTATGATTATCAATCAAGGGTCCTGTCCAATTCAGGGAATGGATCCTAAGTGGTCTCCCTTGTGGTGATTCCAAAAAGAAATCGCAAAAAAATGTCCTCTAAAGTCTCGCACGATAGAAAAGTGATGTAATGAAAAGAACAGAATAGAGAAGTGGTGAGGGTAAAAATAGAGACGAAAAAATTCTGGGGTTACTAACACCATTCGCCATAGAATGATGGGAAAGGGGAGTTATGTGTGAGCTTGGTTGAACGAGAAGGATGGTTAGGGGTTTGGTGGGGGAATCTGGTAAGCCAAAGAAAAGCTATCTGTCCAGATGGGTGAGTTGAACGCATCGATTGATCAACGCCGCTTAAGATAATGGATCGTCCATTGAAATTGCTCTGGACAGCGTATGATAGCACTCTCTTTCTCTTGTTTTTTTTTTCTTTTTCTCTATCACTCTCACTTATTCTCTTTATTTCTCTATCTATATTTCTCTTTCTAGCTTGTTGAGAATGCACCATTGCTGGTGGTAGCCAGCTAGCCAACAGTTGAATCGGGGAACGAAGCCTATTCGTCACTGTCGTATCGCCTTATCGTCCTAGAAGGGCTGGCCCTTTTGCCGGCCATTATCTCTTACCATTTGTTTGTTCCGCATCGAAACGTTGATCTGACTTTTATTGCTTCAAACGTACCTACCTACCTACCTACCTACCTACCTACCTACCTACCTAAACCAAGGCTACACGATCCAAACGTTCAACTTTTTTACTATTAGGGCTTTGTTAGATACTCATGTAACTTTGATATTATTTAGTATTATTTTTATTAGATTTTTCTTTAAAAAAATTTATTGCATTTGTTTCAAGATAAAGATAATTTTAAAATACATACAAGTTTTATAGATATAGATATTATTATTCGTTTATGAAATAATAGATCATTTTATTTATAATATACTTTTAATAGTAATGCAATATTTAATTTGATGTGTTATCTTAAATGAAACATTTTATTTAAATATTATCAATGAATCAAATTTTTTTAAAAACAAATGTACATTTATTTATATAATTTTTATTATTTTATATTAATCCTCATAAAAAGAAACAGAAATGTAATATAAAGTGTATGTGTGTAATATAACACAATACAATTTATATATTACATTTAATTTATTTTTAACAATTTTATATTATTTTTAATATCAATACACACTATCAGTTCTAATAATGCAATAATTATTATCTAATAAATAATTTAATCATCATTATATCTTCATAAATTATGTTTTCATATTTCCATACTAATGAATTTTATTTCTTACATTTTTTAGCTTTACTAGTATTGGTAGTGTCTCTTACACGAATACAAATAACTAACATTATTATCGTATTAACTAGTTTACCTTTTTAATATTCGCGAGGTATGTGTACTTCTTTTCTTTTAGACAGTGAGATGTATACTGCGTTGATAGATATTGAATGTGACTGACAGAGTGAGTGAGAGAGTGAGAGAGAAAGAAATAATAACAAACGTTACGTACGACCTAAACGTAATGATAAAAGTGTATAGATGTTACCGGAGTATTATTAAGAAGAAAATAAAGAGACAACAGAGGATCACCGAACGCTTGACATTACTAAGGTTAAACAGAGTAACGTATCTCATTTCTCGGTCTTTTCCGAACGGTCCTTCGACACGTTCACATCGTAGTAGTATTTTAGTAGTAGATTATTTAATAATTTAATTTCTAACGCTATCTCTTTTTGATTTAAATACTTTAAAATGGTTTTCATTACATTCAATGGTATAAAATACGATTCATTTTTTAGCTTACTCTTTATTAAGTTTGCTGATACAATTATTGTTTTATTTAAACAACTTTAACTTTAACATTTAATTATGTCAATTATCATAGATTATTAAATGATTTCTTTATATTTACCATTGAATGTTTTTCATATAATATTCAATAGTGTTTTAATGTGTGCCTTGCCTTCAGAAATGATTTACAAGAAATATTTTAATATAATCTTTAGTATGTTTCAACTTTTTTAGATTTTTTATTTCATTTTATTTTATACATCGTCATCCTAAGGGTTGGATACCCATCCTGCAATCATCAACGAAGTGTAAAAGTAAATATATTTTAATATTAAACATTCTTATGATAATTTCAATGGTTTTTTATTATAACGATGATGTTAATTGTTTTATTTCTTTTTCTGTTTCAGAACACCATTGCAATCGAGCGTGTAAGCAATGATGTAATCGTGTGTTGCATCGTTAAAACAAAATTCAAAAAAGTCGGAGATTAGAATCAGTGTTGTACGCCGTATATAATGATTTCGTTTTTTCGGGTAAAGAAACTCCGTAAGTTTCTTTTATTAGGTTTAAATGTGTGTTCATCGTCATCCTAAGGGTAGGATACCCATCGTGCATTCATCAATGAAGAATAATTGTAAGTCAATTTTTATATTAAACATTTTATCAGTAATTATAATAATGTTTCTATAACAGTGATGTATATAATCTTGTTTTTATTTCTGTTTCAGATCATTGTTGGAATAGTGTTCACATTTTATTAATTAAATTCATTTAGAAATTCGTTTAACATTAGATTTGTTCACTATTGTTTCATTCACTATTTTTTAAAAATTTACAAATATTGTTTGAATGTAGAATTGGGTAGAGAAGAGGAATTAATATTCACATATATTTCATTATGGCATTAAAAATAAACATATATTTTGAAAAAGTAATATAATATTTAATTTTCATATTTATGTAGTAAAAAGATTTGAATGATTTAAATTTTCTCATTCCATAAATCTAGTGTTAATTGAATGAACTGCATTACATGCAGTTGTAGAGTCAGTTTTTGTGAATTATCATCGTCATCCTAAGGGTAGGAGACTCATCGTGCATTCATCGTGCATTCACCAAAGTGAGTATATTTTTGTATTAAATAATTTCTCAAAAATTTCAATACTTTTCTGTAATAGTAATGATATTAATAGTATTGTTTTTGTATTTCTGTTTCAGATTGCAATCGTGCGCGAAGCAATATGTGCAGTGTTTATAGTGGTAATATCAAACTGCGTGCAAAGCAGTTTTTGAATTAGTTGTAGAATCAGTGATCGGTCGAGTAATAAATTAAAATCAAACGCGAATTAGAATCAGTGTTTTTCGTCGTATAATGAAATTTCGGTTTCGCGATAAGAAACTCATCTATAGTTTCTTATTTTCGTTTATACCGCGTTATTAGATTCACGCGAGGTGTGCATCACCATGATGCCATTGAGCTGCATTCCATTGGAATGCATTGTAAGTATTCATTTTTATTTACATTTTATTCGATTGATTTTTGATCATATTATAGAAAAACTTCACTATCTATTCTATTTTATTTTACAGATATGACAACGGATTTTCTTCCTTTTCAATGATGTGGAATGAATTCTTCGATGGAATTTTTGCTGTATCTTCAACAAAAGTAAATCGAGGAACTCTCTGATCATCTGACTGCAATACTTGCTACGAAGTAGGAGTGTTTTGGAGCCACCGTAGAACTTCTAATGCCAACTGTTCATATTTCGTATATGCGTTATTTTCATTCTAAAATATTACATATATGTTATATAACATTGGTAACGAGTAAGTCAAAAACTTTAAAGTTCCTCCAGTGCTCAATCATGTCGAGGATGAAAGGTCCTAATTGGCACGAGCTACTGGTTGTAATTATTGAAATAAATTATTGACGAGCACATGAGTCATTCTTTTTTAAGAATAACTCATGAAAATTGTAAATGCATTTCTGAAGGTACACATATATGTTCATACTTATAATACATACTTAATAATACACAAATACTTCAATAATATTTTCATATATTCTTGGTAATAATATTCTAGTATTAAATGACTTCTGTTTAATTTTTAACAGAAATTTATTATGAATAAACTTTTGATAGATTTCGCGAGTAAAATGTTTTTTTTTTTTTTTTATTGTATCGATTAGAAAATTTGCAAAGTGTGTGTGTGTGTGTGTGACTGATGTATAAAGTAAAATAATATTTGTTTTTTTTTTTTATTTTAATATCGAGTTGACATTTGCAAAACTTACGATATAATGTATTGCATATACTTTAAAGTATAGAATTTTACCGATCAAAGTAGTAAGAGTGAGTGAGAGAGTACTAGAACGATGAAAAGTAAGGGTGGGGGGGGGAGGGGTGGAACAC